GCTGAGTGTCAGTGGAACAGTCCTTAAACTAGGACAGACAGGTTCAAATATAAGGAACTATATTAGATGCAGTCTAGGTTTGGTTTGGTTTTTTAAATGTGACCTGTTTTGTTAAATATTTTAATTTCTGAAAATATACAATAGTAATCATTTGAAATGTCTTTGCCCCAATTACCAAGTGACCTGGTAACCACTCTGATCCTAACAGTGGTGGCCTAATGTGCAAAACACGAAACAAGGGCATGCCTTGAATAGCAGGGATTTAATACCGCTTTCTATGCCCTTTAAAAGCTAAGATCTGTGTTAATGGATATAGAACAGAAGGAGTGAACAGTTTAAAGCAAGAGAAATCCATATTTTCTCTGCATGTGGTCTAAGACCTAGTGATTAACTTTCAACACTAACATAGCATAGTTTCAATACTAACATAGCACAGATTTTTCTGTCAAATTCAACCTGAAAATATTATAATCAAGCAAGGCTTGGATATAGTGATATAAACAGATAAAAAATACAACCTCCACTAAACTTATTCATATTTAATCATACTAGGCAGTTTTGTGTCTTTGCCCTACTATAACTCCCCATTGTTTGAACACAAAACACACTGCATCTTTCTGCTGGGCTGAAGTGAAAGATTAGTAACTGAGGAGCAGGATTTAGAATTATTTGTACCACATCACAGATGAAGGGAGAAAAGAGTAAGGAACTAAAATCAGTTCTATGCCAGAGAGAGAAGACAAAGGGGAAGGGAATACCAGCAAGGAGGGAACGTGGTGGTAAGACAAGTGTTGAGGAAAAGAGAAAAGGAACAACAGCAAGAGGGAGAAGAAATGTGAAGAAAAGATATCACTGAAAAGAAAAAGTTATGTCCTTAAAATATTCCCTCTGTAATTGTTTTCTGCTGAGTGGTAGTAAATGAGCCTTCTCCCTCTGTCAAATTACTCATTAATTATTCTACGGCCAAGCAGGGACAGTCAGCCAGCACCTGAGAAACACACAAGGTAGAACTGCACTGCTCCGGAAGGGCTCCTAGGAGGTTTGCTCCTCAGGTTGATGTAACCTGTCTCTCTGGATCAGGCAAGCTGATCTAAATGCATGGGAGCAGTGCTAAATGTAAAATAGGATAACATACTTTTACTGTAAGATTAACAGCCAGGAATCACAAGAGTCATCTAAGCAGTGATTATTCATCAGGTAACACAGATATCTGTACACAGGTCAACGCAGAAGTTGTACAGGACCTCAGCCAAAGTCTGTTAAGTCAATGTAAAGGCTCTCATTGCCTTCAATAGAGTTTGGAGATGCATTGTGGCTCTCAGTGTACCTAGCTGACTTCTGCCATCACTCTAGAGGCTACAGTCACCACCAGAGAAGTCACAGAAAAACTCCTATTACTGTCAGCAGTGACAGGGTGAGCACTCTGCCCTTAAAACTTCATCATGGAGTTATGGTGTGTTGCCCACAAAAAGCTTCAAGAACTGTCATGCCTGCTCCATGCCTTCTCCATGCAGCACTGAACTCCCAGAATGCTTTTGCCTCAGAAAGGGAAGACAAAAAGTGCTGATGAAGCACAGTAAAAAAGAAAGAGGGGTTTTTATTTTAAGCTCAGGAGGAGTTGGTACATCACCTGTCACAGATGATCAGAGGTGTCTTGTATCTATAAGATCTGCTGGCTCACACATCAGTCTGCTTCACAGCTTCCTGCAGCTCCTGCCATCTGCCTGGAAGTAGCCATTTCCCCAAAAAGTTGGCAAGATAATGCCACGTAAAATGAACAGTATTGGTGGAGCAAGCTCATGTATACTGCCTTATTTTGAAAGCTTGCAGATGGCCAAGTGAACAATAGCTTCCAATCTCATCTCTAACTAAAAAGGGCTAGCACTGTTTTAGATAGATAATTACCAAGTAGCTAAAGGGACATATTGCATCTATCTGAGATTTAGACTGAGCCAGGGTCTCAGGCTGCCACTGCAGCTTTTCAGACACTTCTTTTCACATTTTTTCAGATTTTCTGTTTGTTAAGCAATACCATTCCTGCATTTTCATTTCTGCCTGCTTACGTATGGCAGCTGAGGGGAAGACGATTCAATCCCTCATCCGGAAAGCAAGGCCCCTCATGGACACATAAATGTGTGCTCACCTGTATGACTTGTGTTGCTCAGATGATGAAAATAAGCTGCACTGGCAAAAGCACAGTTTTACTAACACAAGTTGCATCTGTACTAAGGGCATTTTGCCAGCATACTCCATTGGTATTTTGTCCGGAAAATGTCCCTTTAACATGCAGATTACATCTACAGACACTATTTCATTTAAAGCTTTTAAAGTAAAAGTCTGAAAGTATCAGATGAGTATTGCGCTGAGAGATCAGGATGTCTGGCTGTGTCTGCAGGAAGCCTGAGACCATATCTCTGCAGATATGAATTTCCACATGCACCTCAGAGAGGATTACAGCGTTACCTCCTACCAACTTCCATGAAAATAAAATCTCATGGGTAGGACAGGGAGGATCATTCTGTTAACATTCCACCACCACCTCCAAGTAGCAACTCATTTTGGCACTAGGGATCAGTGACTCTGAAAGATTACTAATTACTACTTCTGTTGTTGGTCAAACCAAGCCTAAGGAACTCAACAAGGCACTCAAGGCATAGCTCTGGTTAATAAGCCTGAGTAGTCTTAGAGAGGAATTGTGAGCATATTTTAAACGTCTATGAGCAGAAGTTAAGTTTGAGGAGCTGAAAGATACCACACGATTATCTGAATCATTAGCAGGAGTTGGTGAAGCTTTGGAAAACAACAATGCCTTATGTTTTTCTATTTTGATCCCTTATACTTTTCCCTTTCACGCCATTGTCCAATATCCTGCAATCGTGGGACCTCTAATGCAACCCACTCCATCCAGCTCTACCTAGTATTCCCTCTCTGTCTTCTTGCAGATTGGAAAACACACGGCAGCATGGAATGACTCTTGAAACCTGTCTTACAAAAGAAAAGAACACCAAGAGACTTGATCTGTCAATTTATTTGAAAATAAAGCAGGTAAGTTCTTGCTGCATCATTTAGAGTACCTACACTGAAGACAGCTGCTAAAGCAAGGTTTTTATCTATGAGAGGCATAACAGGAACCAGAAACCTGAAGCTGGAAAAATACAATGAAAAACAAATGCATTTCAATAATGAAAAAAATAGCAACTGAAATACATCACAAAGGAGGGCAGCTCACTGCCCTTCCTCCTATAGAAAGAGCTGGAAGGTCAGCTTCTTAATTTAAGATCTTCAGGGTACAAAAGAATATATCCCTGAGTATCTTTTGAGTAGCCAGATTTCCAAACTCCCAGTAACCACTGCATGTGTAGGGTGTGGTTTATTGCTGCTCCTTTAAAGATTCCTGTCTTTAAGGAATAAGATAAGGCAGCATTGCGGTTAGTGCATTTTTTGGGTAGACTAATTTGAAGCAGAAATGCTTAGAGCTAGGAGAAATCTAGCTAATACAACTCTAAACAGTCTCTTGGATCTCCACATACCTGGTCCTTGGAAGTCTTACACATTCAAAGGAAGACAATGTCAAGTCCCAATCCTCAAAACACTCTGTTCACAAAGAAGGTAGAGAAGGGCCAACACATTTTTTATTTTCATGGTCTATAAATGGATGATTTTGGGAAAAGAAAATAAAGCAGAGGATGGTTACCAGAGTGAGCATACCCATGGGGAGAAGATCTGGATGCAGCTGCAAGGTTTGAGTTGAAGAAACCCACTCTTGTAAAGAAATGCTACAGAGAAATTCCAGAAGGAATTTTATCTGCCTTTCCTAAGTGTGGAGAATGTTCTGAGAGATGCCCTCTCATATGGAAAGAAAGTATATAAAAAAAAGCTTTAAAGCATCAGGATAGAAAACATGTAACTTTTGCCTATTAACTTAGCAAGAACAAATGAGGCACTTCAACAAAGTACATTGGTAGTGACAGAAATTAAATTCCTCAAAGGCTCTGATAACACCACCTATCAGGAGATAGATAGTCCTGGGATTCGGATTTCCATTCCGAAACAGGTTTTGCAGTCCTGTGCTTCATGATATTTAGAGCCATTTCAGATGTAACTTAACGTCCTCATGTAGAACCAAAGCACTGACAAAACCCTGTGTGTCAGGATAAATTACCAGGTGCCAAAGTAACATGCCAACTTCGTATCAGGTCTTTCCATCTCATCACCCCTTTACCAGAAGTTAGATTGCTTTATCTGCTGAGAGTCCCTATTTTATATGCATTTAGAGTTGAAATTTGTACTTTCAATGGCAAGAGAGACAGAAAAACAAATTTTGTTCCAGTCTGTAATTCAAGGGCTTTGTCTAGGAAATATCTGGGGTCTTATGCTCTCTGCTGACCCTGAGGGATTCCCGGCATGATGTAACTGTAATAATATCCTTTTGAAAATCTATTTCAATGGACTACCAGTGAAAAAAGGCCTCTGACTGACTCCCTCCTTCTCTCACCCTTTTAGGAAATTACCTTGGGAAGGAAAAAAGATCTATTTACTGTCCGCTATCGCCGTGGACTTGAATAAACACGCTACTGCTTACGCTGTGCAAAAAAATTATAGATGGAAAACTTTTACCACCCCCTTTTGCTTTAAGCTGTTCAGCGCTGAGCCACCAGCCGGGAACCTGCGCGTCCACTCGCGGCCGGGGCCGGGAGGCGCCCCAGGGACCGGAGCAGGTGCCGCCGAGGCCGGCGGGGCTCGCTCCCCGCAGCCCTCCCCGCAGAGGAGCCGCCGGGGTGGCAGAGCCGGAGCCCACCCGCGGGGAGGACCGGCCGGTCCCTCTGGGCAGCCGGGGATGCCGCTCTCCCCGCCGGGCCGCCCGCCGGGCTCTGCGGCCGCGGCGCATCCCGAGGAGCGACCCCTGCCCGGCTCCTCCGCGGCCACCGCCGGGCCCCAAGGGCAGCCCCCACTCGCTCCTCCGCCGCGTCTCGGCCCCGCCGCCCCCGCGGGTGCCTCACCTCCGCCGGCGCCCGGGAGATGTGGAGGGGCTCCCGGTGCCGCGCAGCCCTCACTGAGCCCTCGCCGCCGGGGGAGAGGAGGGATGCCTCGCTGACTGAATGGCCGAGACTGGCAGCTGCGCCGTGCTGAGCCGAGCCGTGCTGAGCCGTGCCGTGCCGTGCCGCCCGCCGCTGCGGCAGGACCGCCGCCGCCGGCTGAATGTGCTGTCTCACGCTGGACAGGCTCCTCCCGAGAGCTGCTGCTGCCGCCTTCCTCCTCCCGCCTCCTCCTCCTCCTCCTCCTCCACCCGCGCGCCCCCGGCAGCGACACCCCCGCCGCCTCCGGCGGGACCGGGGCGGGGCTGCGGGGGACCCGGGGCAGGTGGCGGCGGAGGCTCCTCGGGGAGGAGGTCCCCGCGCCCGCCCCCAGCAGCTCCGGCCTGAGGTGGGGTCGCTCGGCTCGGTCCCCTCGCTGTCACCCCCACAGTGGCGCAGGCTTTCCCTCTGTAGCCCCCGAGCAGGCAGCTGCACGGCAGCCCGCCTGTCAGCCCAACACCGGCTTCACCGTCAGCCCCGCGGCAGCCAAGGCAGCATCCACTGCCACCTCCACAGCATCCCTGTCGTCATTCTCATGGCAGCAGAAGCAGCTGACAGTCCCGCAACGGCTTAGCCATCACCCCCAAAGCTGCCTAGGATATCTCTCCTCAATGCCACTCACCATCACCTCCACAGCAGCTTCATCATCACCCTCACTGCAGCCTCACTCACCATCACCCCTATGGCAGCCTGGCCATCAGTTCTATCATGATGGCCTGGCCAGCAGCCCTGTAGCAGCCTGATCAACTGTTATGAGGGCAGCAGGCTCCTGCTTAGTCCTGTCCCTTTGTGGAAGAACAGGCAGATGTCCAGAACGATGGAACAAGACCCAGCTTTCATGGTTAAATGAGGGCAAGGCTGCCCAAAGGCAGATATTTTGGTTTGTCCCTGTTTCCTCAATCCCGTGAGGACAGGCACCAGACAGGAGGGTCAGACACCTGCTTCTCTCCCCACACTGACATATCCATCTCCTGGCGGAGAGGTGCCAGCAAGGCTGTTGGAGACTGTCCATGCTCCTACAAATAACATCCATCTCTGGTGTAGAGGACCCAGCTTCCCTCTCCCTCTCATTGAACACAGGTATGTTGCCCCACATAGGAAGAAAACATGTGCCCTTTGGTACCATGGTTTATCCTTTAAAAATGTGATGTCCTGGACATATGACTCACTGTTCTCCAACCCTCTGATCCAAGACAGCAGGAAAGGTATCCTTCTGGAACATGTTCCTGGAGTCCAATCCCTTGGTTTGCTTTGTTGGGAAGCACTAATTCCAGGTACTATCATTCCAGGCCCAGGGCCTGTCCTGGGAAGCATGAGGTATATCCAGCCCACTGAAAAGCCATCAAGAATTCACCTCACCTCCAGTACGTCCAGACCCAACTGGACCACACCTGGCCAGGAGACAAAGAACTCTGAAGAGGAACAAGAGCATCCATTGCTGTGACGACACAGTAATGAAATAAGTTTCTCAATTTAATTGGAGTTGAAGCAGGAAAGATTCACATATTTGTCTCCTGTGAAAGTCCTTAGAGAGCAACATCTGCTTCTGCAGGCTGAAGCATGTGTAAAAAAGCTCATGAATTTAAATGTATGATTTGCAATGTTTTGAGTTTGGGGCACTTGGTTTGCAACTCTTTATTAAAATAAGACCCTTTCAAAATCAGACACTCAAAATTGAGCTTCAGAAACTGCTGTTTGCTTTTGGAAGTGTTGGCCTTAGTCTCAGCTTTAGCATAAATCCCACGAGGTTTGTTTAGGTTCCTTTTGATCGTGAGTCATTTGCAAATTTCCTGCAAACTCAGCAGATTGCTTTAAACTGTTTCTGGCCTAAGAGGGCCTTGGGGTCATTTAGTATTCCTGAATCAACAGATGAGACTGGTTCTCCATGGTGCCTGAGGAGGTTCTTCTATTGTTAACATGCTATCATATACCTATAACCATGATGCCATGGTATCATCCACATGCAACATGGTATCACAGTATCATAAACATATCATGCCATCACATTGTATGACAACATCAGGCACAGTAATATATGCCATAAATAGGTATTCAAAGCTTGCTAAGCCCTACAGTTTTTGTTACAAAGTAATGGTATTTTGTGTTCTACCAATAACTACATAGGATGTTTTAAAAAAACCAAACCTGTAAACCCCAGTTCAATGGGACACAATTTTTATATTTGTGATATTTGCCAGAGGTGATTCAGTCTTTTGAAAGTATAAAAATAAAGCACAGAAATGGAAATGTCAGGGAAAAATTTGTTTAAAAATCCTCATCAAACATAATGACAGACCTGGTAAAATTATTGTTGAATAATGAGGAATCCTATATAGAAGAGTTCAGAAAGAACTTCAGTGGCCAATTTCTCCTCAAAATAAGCTATTGTAAGGAAATCTGGAGAGAAGTGATCCTAGGTAGGATAGGATAGGTGATCCTAGGTGAACCTTTGGGAACACAAGAAAAATACACAACCAGCCTAGTTAAGGAGTTCTCTGAAGAAATAATTATTTTCTCTACAAGTGATGCTCTGTTCTCTTTGACCTTAATCTCACTATTATCTTCGCTAATCTTCCACAGCAAAAGCCCTCACCATTTTTGTGGATTTCTTGTTCTAGGGATGCAAATTGTATTGTCACTAATTTTATGAGACAGGGATAAAATCTTTATACTGCAGGAAGATATGATTATATTTATTTTTCAAAAAAAAAATCATTATGATCAATAGATCATAATGTCTTCATAACAGTTTTTGATGAAAAATATCCAGTCATTTCAGTATAACCCAGAATGGGTACTAATTTCATGTTTTCCCATTAAACACAAATCCATAATATTATCCAAGTCCATATATTCTGCTAGTAGGCATTGTCTATTATGTATGCCTTAATCACCAGCTGAATGTGCAGTAGTATAGAGTTAAGATTACTTTCAAAACCTTTAAGTTGTCACTCTGTGAGTTCAGAAGGTAGTTACTGTTGCCTCAAATTGCTTTATTAGAACAACAGAGGGCAAACTGGCCAGCAATTAACTAACTGCCTTCTCTGTCAGCTGTACGTGAACACACAGCCACTATGCTGTCCTCTAAAGAGAAATCAAAGATTAAGGAAAAGTTTGGGGCTTATCATAGTCCATGGATTGTGTGGGGAAAAAGACTATTGATAAAACCTCAAAAATTCATTGTTTGCCTGTCTCCCCTCTTCTATCTTACACACGTGTAAAATGTAGAGGTTTCCATGGAGATTAATAAGTGCAATATATGGTTAATTACTAGATTGTAAAAGTTCGAGGGAAAACAATTTGACATATTTTCCTTTTGAAGTTACTTTATACAGAGTTGTTCACATTTATTAATGAAAATTGGCATAAATTGCTCTGGCCAACCAATAACCATTTATGATGCAACATGAGACAAATAATTAGTAGTGCATTGCATTTCCCTGCCTTAGGCATGAGCAACTCCTGCTTCACAGAGGGCAGTAACAAATGAGCAAACTCTCTTGGAAGTTTGTGCCACTGGAAGATTAAAAATTAATTTCAAAGCAGACATTTCTAAAGCTTAATGAAAGTAGCAGTACGTATTGCATGGTAGGCATAACCTGGGCTTGGCAAATAGCAGAGGGTGTTTCAAAATGCCTTCCAGCTTTTCAAAGGAAATGATTTAAACAAAGAATCAAAAGACTTAGAAAAAGTGTGGAATGTCACTTCTGAAGTCAGCTTTATTGTTACAGCAGTAAAGTCACTATAGGGCACTATTCCAAATGGCTTCAGAAATCTTTTCTTCACAAATGAACTAGTTAGTTAATCATGGAAGAAATACATGGGTAGTTACTTGGTTATGAAAAAAGTTAAGCAGAAAGTGGAGAACTTTTCTTATTGTTTGCTGAAAACAGTTACATTCTCCAGGCAGGTCACTCAGTCAAAATTTCTGAATATCCACAATACATGTAAGAACACAAATGAAGATTTTAAATGTATCTGGTACACAGTCACTAATAATTCCTCTGACAACTGATTTCCTGTTGGCAGATGCCAGTTCCAAGATCTTTGCCCAAAAAAATGTACAAAGCCAAAAAAAGCACTTATCTTAAAAAGGTAAAATTCTTTCTCAGAAAGAAACATCTAAAATAAGAGATCATGTATAAAGTAGAAAATAAAGGGAGGTCTTGGCAGATGGGTGAGTTCCACATTGTTCTGGATTTTTGTGACTCTTCAAACATATTGCAACTATGTGCTCTTAGAAACAATGAGTTTAGTGGCAGGCTCTTTTCTAATCCTCTTTTTGTGCTTTGTTCCTCATTTTCCTACAACACTGTCACCAAAGGGATTAATTAGGTCAGGAAATAATAATTTCACCAAAGTTCTATGGGACCATGGGTAGGTAACCAAGGGACTTAGAAGATATAAGGTACTGATTTCAGGATTTGCAAATCAGCACAACTGCAGTGGTCCACAAGATGCCTGGAGTTTCCAGGAAGTAGTAGCAGCAATGAATTTAATTTTTTTCTGCTATTCAGGCAATAGAAAAGGAAATTAGGGGGGCCAAGAACACACTGGTACTTGCAAGACAGGAAAACATGTCCATATGCAAACAGAGCAGCTTTTGACACAACCATTTGGATCTAGTGGTTTGAGTTTTTTTCCAGAAAATCTCAGCTCCATCCCTGTTGTTCGTACAACTAGCACTCTGTAGCTCTCACTTGTCTCCTGAGAGGTTCACTTCACCTAGAAAGCTCTCTCAGCTTTTTTGGCTTGCGAAGATACAAAGTTGATGAGAGGGTAATGTAGGGCTGGTTACCCTAAAGAGAAGCTCTAGTATGGGTCAAGAGAAAGAGGAATAGCAGTGTACCCTTCTATTTTCAAAAATTCATCCTACTGTCAAAAAATAAAAGAGATACGTCAAGTATACACTGTGATTGTTGTAGCCTCTATATTTGCTATTTATATGAGATGATAAATTCTTCAGTCAATCTACCTATACAGTTGTTAGTAGACTAACGTGTCAACTGTGATTGAAAAAGCTTGATGAACTGTAGTACAAATGTTTAGTGATAATAATAAGCACCAACTAAAATAGCAATTAGCTGGAAGTTAGAGTTACATTTCTACAAATTGATCAAACCTCAGCAGAGCAACATTTAGCAGGATGACTGTGGATTCAACCTGGTTGCTAAGGTGGAAATC